TGGTCAATTTGCTGACTTCTTTTCTTTTGTACAAGTTGCAGAACAGGCGCAACGAATCGTCGACACACACTGTTTCCATCTGCAGAAATTTTGAATGCAACCGATTTTGAGGTTCAGAGAGGCAGTAACCCTAAGAAGGCAATCTCACCGTCACAATTCTCCTTCCCTTCCTGTACCAGACCGTCGCTGCACAAACAGATGCCGCGTCTTCGCTCACTTTGAGAGAGCACGTTACTGCAGCAATTGAGCTCAGTCTTTCCCAGTCGCGCAGAGATAAGCATTCTTCATGTACTCGAGCAACTACAGCTGCATGATCTGAAAGTACCACGATAACTTTGATAAACAATTCAGCACCGAGAAATACGAAACCATGCACTGTGAAGCTCACGCCCAATGCCGTTGCTAACAATGGATAATAGCGGTTCGCTCGCTCAAACTAGCTGGATTGTCCACCAGGACACTCAACAGACAGTTCAATCCCGTGCGACTAAATCCAGCGCTCAAAAATTAGTACAAACACAGCGAGTGATGAAAGCATTAGAGCAATATATCTCATTAAATGCATTTTCTATAAAAAGCGAATAAACGTGAATTACGAGAAAAACGAGACCTGATAATGCTTTCAGTAACGAAATTACTCGGTCGAACGATAGCCCCAAAAAGGCTGTATCAAGGGCATCCAGGAAAATCACAGGGTCTGTGCGACGGTCACCAACGAAATGAGCTTCGTCGAGAACATCGAGCAACGAATTAACTTCTTTCACTGATGCGGCGCAATCGAATATGCTTGGGAAGCGCTTCCGCAACGAATTTAGCCAGGAAGTTAACAGATAAACGTGCACGGCTCTTTTGCCATCTTTGCTCGAAGCACTCTGCACCAGTAAGCTGGCCCAAAGTCGCTCGGCGCTGCATTCCAAACTGTCTGCAAAATGCAGCAATATTTGATGCTGTTGGTTGTAAAAAAGCATTTGATAGGGTCCAACTAAACACCCTGTACTTGCTTGAAAATGCAGTCAATGAATCGTACGGAAAAATGGACTGAACATTAACAGCCATTTGCGAAAGGCATAGTTCTCATCGAAAGCAGCGATTGCGAAAATTCATCCACTGCGCACAACTAAATCCCTGCTCAAGCAATGCTCAAGCATACAGTTGTCCCATAAGCACTCTAACATCTGCCACACCCTTCCCCTCCTCCACTTTTTTCATGAAATTCTTTGTTTTTGCAATGATCATGATAATTTGTCCACTTATATGAATTTTTTGTGTCGGTGACTAGCTCCCCCTCTTGTCTCCCCTGTTGTGACACCTTCGATTCATTATGTGGATCTACTTACTGCTGAAATATGCCCCAGAAGAGTCTACTTATACGCTCTTCGCGTCGTCCCCCCTGTCCCACCATTTCTCCGTCCCTTTGGCACCTGTTTCTGGGAAAACTACACAACTTTCTCAAAACATGCATTTCCCAGAAATGAAATGCCATTTTCAGTAACTCCGCTCTTTCTTTGATAAAAACTAGATCTGATTTGTCTTGGCTAGGGATGCACTCACCTTTTAACAGAACCAGTCCTCGTAGCTGTATATTTTGCATCAGTGAGCTATCCTGAACACTTTCAAGATAAAAATTACACCATTCTCAGCGAGGTATCACGAAACCTGAAATTTTTCTTTAAAAAAATACAGAAATTTGCGACGAAGACACCGATATCCAGTGGTATAACACAGCTTGCTGCGCTGTCGAAAGAGGTGTGCTGACTGTTCATTTTTTACTCCGTCATATCTCGTACAGTCCGCTAACTTAACATCCACGACGGTGTGACTAATGCCCAAGAAATCCTTCCAATGCATTTCTCCTCAGAAGAACGTTGACCAATAATTTCTTCAAGAGATGAAACGAACGTCCGGGGCACCAGGAGGTAAACCTTCAGCAGATGTGTTCAGACAAAAATCGCTTTTGCGGCAAACGCAAGTGCAGTGAGCCCAAGTTTTCATATGAGCTAATCTTGCAAAGGCAGTCACGTCGCGCTTTTATCGTTTGTTCCTTAAACAATTATGCGAAGCAAAATACCAACTCACAGGCAAAAATAGCCTGCGACACTTCGAAGAGTCATTTACTCTAGTTTCACGCAACCTGACACATGCTCATTGTAAAGGAGGCAGTACTGATGATTCCCACGTCTACCCC